ACAATATAGCAGCATTACATCTTGTGAGCTTCCATTATCCAAAACATCACCAAATTCTCTTAAAACGACATGCTATTTGAGTTAGAAAAACTGTTTCTCTTTACATTGTGGAGTGCCAAAATGATAAAACTTATAAAATTCCTTAAATAGTTGAATAGGTGTCTGACGATCCAGTTTAGCCCTACCTGGCTGCAGGCATGAGGATGGCTTGAGGTGATGCTCACTGGAGTTTACTGACAGTGGTCTGCAATGTTAGTACTCAAAAGTAGACAAAAGAGCACCTCGCTGATTGGTTGACTAACAGGAGGGGCGTTTACTGTTTAGCCCCGCCCCCTTACAAACGGAGCTGCTCACTCTCTTACAATGACAGCTGTCAGTGTGAAAACCTTGTCCCACGATGTTTTTGCACAATTTTGAACACAAAAGGGCCACCATTCAAGTGGGAATTAAATATTCCATGGAGGGATATATAAAATATTTTAAAATAAATACGGTGGGTAACTCGAAGCAAAGTCCCTTTAAGGATATTCTATAGTCTTTGCTCGAAGGGAGGGTTTACAGATCACAATGCAAGCAGGAGAAGTCTCTAGGGTCATCACGATCGCAGATGACAACATCCCGATGTTGTGCCCATTTTCGACCCCTTCCAAATTATTACCCCCTCTCGTTGAAATCGCTACCTGATTGCCTAATCCTAACCCCTCCCCCACACCTAACCCTAAACCTACCAATACTAGGGGGGTAGTAATCTGGCGGGGGTTAGAATTGGACACAACACCGGATCAACACTGTTTATGTATTGCAGGGTACGATTAAATTAATGTACATTTAACCAGTTTAAAGGGTTAGTTCACCCAAAAATTAAAATCTGTCATTAATTGCTCACCCTCGTGTTGTTCGAAACCCGCAAGACCTTAATTTATCTTCGGAACACAATTTAAGATATTTTTGATGAAATCTGAGGGCTCTCTGACCCTCCCATAGACAGCAAGGTAACTATCACGTTCAAGGTCCAGAAAAGTACCAAGATGATCGACAAAGTAGTCCGTGTGACATCAGTGGTTCAACTGTAAAGTTACGAAGCTACAAGAATACTTTTTTTGCGCAAAGAAAACAAAAATAACGACTTTATTCCACATTTTCGTCTCTACTGCGTCACTTGTGGACGCGTGTTCACGACAGTATCATGACACGAGCGTGTGGCGGCGTCATCACGCCGGAACTGGGTCAGCGCCGGCGCCACCACACGCTCGCGTCATGATACTGTCGTGAACACGCGTCCACAAGTGACGCAGTAGAGACGAAAATGTGGAATAAAGTCGTTATTTTTGTTTTCTTTGTTACTTTTGTTTTTGTTTCTTTTCTGGACCTTGAACGTGGTAGTTACTAGGGGTCGACCGATATGTGTTTTTCAGGGCCTATGCCGATACCGATTATTACAGATCAAGTAGACCGATAACCGACATTTTGAACCGATATATATGTCTGGTGTAAATTTACCATTAAAATTAAAACATGGAAGAAATAGCGTATTGTGTGTTGATTCTTTTAAACAAAAGTTGTAATAATTGTTGTAGTAGTCAGGGGTTAAAGCAAAAAATAAAATCTTTTGACTGAAAATTTTTCCTCGGCCAAACCCCATTCTTCAGCCATACCTGTCACACGCCCAGTTTAAGAGCAGTGTTTTTCTTCTTGTAAATCAAGAGCGCTTGTCCTCCTAATTAAAAAAAAGTTAAGGAGCACCTTCTGCTCAATAATCAAATTCTGATCAAAAATTAGCCTTCCTAATATGAGGTGAAGTGATTTACAGGGGCATTTTCT